TAGTCTGCATACTGTATGGTGTGATAGGTGATAACAGGGCTGTGTCCCTTCACAGAAAGAAACTGTGAGATGGTTTTGTTTGGGGAGTTCCACATAATTTATGTAATTGGTTAATATGTGGAAACTACAGTCTTGTAATAAGAACCAAGTTGAATCATTCAAGACCCTTGGTCATTAATAAAGATAGTTAGAGCTAAACTATTAATGGCCAGTATAAAACAAAAACAAACAAAAAAAACCCCAAGAAATATAATAGTATTTTATGCTAACTCCTTGGAACAAATGATTTAAAACAGAGTTTGCAGATGGCACTGAAACAGAAAGAAATATTGAGCAATGCAACTAGACATGAGAAGGTTTTTGTTCATAACCACCATGTGTGGACTGTTCATTTGATACAAATGCAACAACAGATGCTGAAAATGTCTCTCTATTATGGCATTATCACAATGAAACAATATTTTTAGTCTTGGTGTGTGCAAATGACTTGCATATTAATAATTATAATTTGTATCATGGTGAGTTATTACAATACACAACCCTCACGTTCCTTCAGTACCCACAAATTTTTAGTTCCATTGATATCAATGTATTAATAGTGCTTGAAATTTTACAGCAGCTCAAATAGCCCCTTGTCATTCTGAAAGATGACTCTAATTTGCATGAATTCTGTTCTTTGGTTCAATGTGTTACTTGGAGACATTGTATCTTGACATTTTATTTCTTAAATCCACAAAATCAAAGAAATCAAGGATCCTCCTTTAAGCTAATCATAATTATTTTAATATATATATATATATATATATATGTGTATATTGTTTTGAGTGCAATTAAGCAGTATAATTTGTGTTTAAGAGCCTGAGGATAAAAAAGTCCTTGCTCCACATTAGGTATTTTCACTTGTTATAACCCACTGGCATTGTGCAGATATTCTGCTGGGTGGCTTTTTTGTTTAACTGCTTGATATAAGATACCCATTTAAATATCAACAGCTTCTGGAGTTACCCCTTGCTCATGTCTGGCTACTTGAAGCTTGCCTGTTTTCAAATTCTTGTATTGCTGTAACTCACAGAAATAACAACAGAACTAATGTTGTCTATTAATTTTCTGTTTTGCATATACTATTATATTTAATATAAAAATCCTATATATGAACTGTGTTGCTTACAGAACACTTGTTCTATAAATAACCACTTGTTCTTCGACTGGAATAGATGCTGTTCCAGACTTTGCCAGTTCATTTGAGGTCTAGAGTAAAGCTTTAAGGGAAGCTGAATGACATCCTGAAATCCATCACCGATTTCTGTGTTAAATGTGCAAGGCAATATTAAAACAAGAGCTGGAACCTTCTGACCTCCCTTATGCAGCTGCATTAACAGTTTAAATTAAAAAGATTTACCATTACTGTCAGTCTTTGGGCTGGAGGCAATGGAGGCACAACACTCTGTATCTGCCTTACAGAAAGAGACAGAAAAGACATTGATATTGAAAAACTGCTTTTAAATTCCTGCATCTGGATGGTGGCAATCTAAAAAAAACTAAACTGAAACACAGTGTAAGAGCTGTGGGCCAAGGTTACCAAAGTGACATGTTTTGTCCATTTCCTACACAGAAAATGAAGCCAAGAGAATGGGTTGCTTACCTCGTTTTTCTTCCAGCTGCAGTTCTGAGTTTCTCTTATCCCTGCCTTTGTTTTGTACTCTGTAGAGATTCTTCCCAGATGAAATGGTTCTGATTTTTCAATAGGGCTTACTTTTGCTTCTGAGATTACTGCTGTTCAAAAATGAATGCACCTGGTAATTTTTATCACTGCTGTCTTTAATTTGAACTCAAAGTTAACTGCTCTTAAATTAGTAATTCCACTGCAAACTTGAAGAGTCTTTTTGAAGCTATGAATAAGTGAAAATGGCAGGAAATGAAGTGTGGGTTTGTGTTTGGAGATAACAGCACTGTTTTTCTTGCAATCCCTGGTTTTGGGTCCTTGCTCCTAAATTCTATTTTCCATTTCACACAAATTGTAGACCTCAGTTCTGAAGTCTTTAAGTTGGTGATAAAAATTTCTGCCTAAATAAAATATCTCTGATATTTTTCCTCCCTCTGAGTATTATGGGAATGTAATAAGGGCTATTAAAATAAATTAGATCGCATTTTGGATTAAAGTTTCTGTTTTGAATACTCAATAGTCCCAATGTCCTTTTGAATGATCACAGAAGCTGCTTGTTTGATGTCTCCTCAGAGGTATAATCTCAGCCACCACCTCTTGCCCAAGAAAGGGACACTAAGCCACCATTTGATGGAGAAATGAAGGATTTTGTGTTATTCAGTTGCTGTGTGACAACAAGAGCATGTCCTGTTCCAGATACCATTGAGGTGTGACCTGTTTTTGCCTTTGCCTGCTCCCTTTTAAAATTTTGCCCGTGTCCAGTGACCTCTAGTAGCCTCTTGTTTCAGTAGCCCTATTTAAAATTAAGAAAAAGGTTTCAAAATATGGTGTGACTACAAATGGAAAGTACTGATTTTTGTTTATATTTCTTAATGTTCTTTGTGACAAAGGTTCTGAAATATGTTTAAAAAACTCCAGTGACGAGCACATGTTAACAATACAGTGAATCACTAAGCGTTTTCTAATGGTACAGATTGTCAGTGATTACTGAATTTTCTGGCTCCTGCTGCTTTGGACGATTCCTGCTTTGTGTTATCAAGGGCCAGGAGAAAATGGTGGTGTTTCTTTTGTGCTGCTGAACAAAGTGCCATGTTTCTTGACTTCTGAAATTAAATCATTTTAAATTGTCTTTTTTTTTTTCCCTTCATCTCTTCTTATTCACCTTCTTTTGCACAGTAGTTCAAATTCCCACTAGAGAAAAGAATGTTACTAACAGGCTTTCAGCTTCCCAGCACTTGCAAGGCAATCATTAATGGAGGTATTTTGATATACTTCTTGCCACAGCCTTAAGCTACAGCCACAAATAGCTTTTCAGACTTATTTGAACTCTTGTCTTTAGTTTTCATGTTTTTGATGAATGGATGCTGCCTTTAAAGTTTCTAAATGTATGTTGGACATATGAAAACATATTCAAGGTCTCTTAAGTGAAAAGAAAGAGTAAAGCCCATAAATAAACCATCAGAGCATTGCTTTCGGAGGCATGTCACACCTGTTGTAGAATTAGCATTCTGAATCTTCAGAATGTCAGACTGTTTTTGGAAATATTCTTTCTAATGAAGAGAAAAAAAAAAAAAGAAAAATAAGGAAGAAAAAATATGACTTCAAAGAGCTACTTGCCTGATTGAGTTGGGGTGAAAAAATGACTTGATGGCTTTGATCCTTCCATCAAATGAAACAACATGAGGGAGGAGGGGGGAGGGAAATGTGTGGCTTTGCAGAGTAATGTCATGCTATCAGCAAGGACCACTAAATATATTGATTGGCTTCAGCAGTCTGTATCATTTTCAGCCAGAAAAAGAATTTTCAGTCACTGTAGGGCTACCAATTTCCTCTGCATAAAAATTTGGGGGCAGAATGTTAATAAATCAACAGTGGTTATCTAACCAACACTAGGTGAGTGGAGATAGATTCAGCATTACTCTCCAAAGAATAAGGGCTGACTACTATGCAAGGCTTATTTCCAGTATAAACAAACATTGTATTGTATAAATATAAACACATTTGTCTAAATATGCTGTGAATATTTTATGCATAGCTCCTACTGGGGAAGGAAAAAAAATCTATCAGACCTACAGCCTGAATTTCATTGAAGAAAAATGCTACAATTTCTATATCTGCCAGCAAACTTGAGCTAAGTCTTACTGAGAACAATTGTGGGGGGAGAGGGATTGATCTTGGGCATCTGGTGTTTTACATCCTGTATTCACCATTTATGATTTGCATGAAACAACCGAGGACTTTGAGGACGGATGGGTTGTAGGAAGGATAACAACATGAATTGGTTGGGAGAGGAACCCCTGGGTGCTGAGTGGTGTCAGGAGCTGGCAGCTGTCACAGGAGAGGTGTCAGCACAGGGTGTGAGCACTCAGAGCTCTGGTGAGAGAGCCACAGGCAGTGAGCAGGGAAAATGCATCCTGTTCCTTAGTTCTTGCTGTCTTCAGGGAAATGGGACTTTATTCTGTCTCACTAAAGCTGGGCAGGGTTGTATCAGGAGATATTTGGCTCTGTCATCAGTTTTACCTGAAAACAATCATCTCCAGGATTCTGTGCTTGTTTCTGGCCCAGGAATAGTTATTTCTGTTCTCTGATGTTGTGATTGTGAGCTGCTTTTGAAGCCAAGCTCTGCAGCTGACCTTTCAAATGTGAAGTGCTATCTCCTTTAGCAGAATACAACACTCTGTTTTCCAAGTAATGCTAGAGCATTCAAGGTCTGCTTTTTCTATTTTGAGACTTTGTTTTTCCAACCTTCTTTTTAGTCTTCCATGAAGACGGTAGAAAAAGGAGGAGGGAAGAGAATAGTAGCAAATGTTTTAAAGATTCAAAGAAACAGCAATGCAAAATTATTTTTAATGCCTAGTCAAATCTAGGCACAATTGCTTTCTCCTCATCTTTATTGTAAGGCTGTAATAAATAATTAAGTTGAATGCACTACTTATGGACAGGTTGGTGTAAAGTATAAACAGCTGTTCTCCGGTATTTCAATCTCATTTTACTTACTCCCTTTAGTGAAAATGCTGACCTAGAAATTGTCATCTCTGACTGGAGCAGTGCTGCTTCTGCTCCACTACCTACATCTGATAGTGATTAGTGGCAGCTGTTTGGGAAAAAAAGTAGGATAAAAAAAGTCTATACTGGGAATATGTAGAATAACTTTTGCATTTGGAGAACATTTCTGTATATGGTGGTGTGGGAAACAAAAGAAGACCCTACAGAGTCAAGTAGCAAGATGTGTTCTTATGCCAAACAATAAAACATTGATTAAAAAATAAACTAATAAAATTTGTGAAAGATCTGTTTATTGGATTATGGTAAACTTTTTTCTTTTTTTACAATCCAGTTACTATTTAGCTAAAACTAGTGCTTAATTGGTACACCTTGCAATCAAAATCTGAATATAAGATCAAGATTCAAATCTTTAGTTGTTTCAGGGGTTGATCCTGGTAACATACAAATTTGACTCACTGTTAGTAAGGTAATAGCTCTGTCATTACATGCTCTGGGAACATCTCATGCTGTCTCAGTTACTTGTCTAAAAGATGTATGAGTGAATAAATGTATTTTCCTGCATTATGTGGGTACAGGATGTACAGGACATGCAGGTCTGGAAGTGGAGGCTGGTACAGTTTGTGGTTGGGGCTTCTCAGATGTGTTTTGTATGTTCAAAACATTTCATTGATGCCAGTGTATTGTTTTGGAAATGGATATTGACTTTAGAGCCTGTTACTGTTTTTGTGTAGCACTTCAGATGAATTGAATATGAATTATTACTCTGTTGGGTTGGAAATGCTGGCTGCTGGTTTTGAGTGGAAAGCAATTGTAGCCAGTTCTCACCAAGCCAGGCATCTGAAGTGCTAGATGCTTTTGAAAACTCTAGCAGATGTCTAACTATTTTTAGGTGCTTGAACAACATTTTGGGATCTGGTCTGAAAAAGTGAAAAACCTTCTGTAGATAGCACTAGGATTTTCATGTCAGATTCAGGTACATAGATTGTCTGTCTTATTAATATATTTTCTGTGAATGCTTTGCAAGACTTGCAGGATGTTTTACTTGTGAGATCACCAGACACCTTCTGTTCACTGAAATAGTAATAAAGGTCCTTTTTCATGGCATTGATGGATATAAACACTCATACAAGTGATTTCTGATTTTACTTTCATTTTTACCTTTGGTGCCACCACCAACAGGTCTGGCTCTTCCTGCATGTTACCTGTCTAGGCTATGTGTACCTTTGAGTAAAAAGTAGGTCTTCATTTTTTTCATGATGGAAGTGTGAACCTTAAAGCCTCAGACAGTTTTCTTCCCTTGACAGCTCTTTCCATGAGCATCTTGTGAGGCTCTGCACTCTTTTTCTACAAGAAAAAATAATTAGGGTATTTTCAGAAATGCTTCTGAACTTAAAAAACAAATAAATTAATTAAAACTTGCTTGAGTCTAGGTTTTCTTATTATGCTGGAAACTTCAGATAGAATGTCTCCAAAGAGGTTTGACCTGGACCAGAAAGATCTTATTACAGAATCACAGAATGTGCTGAGTTGGAAGGGATCCACAAGGATCATTGTGTCCAACTGCTGGCTCTACACAGAACCATCCCCAGGGGTCACACCATGTGCCTGAGAGTATTTTCCAAAGGCTGCTTGAGCTTTGTCAGACTTTGGTGCTGTGACCACTGCCCTGGGGAGCCTGTTCCAGTGCCCAACCACCCTCTGGGTTAGGGAACTTTCTCCAATACCCAACCTAAACTCCCCTGACACAAATTCAGGCCATTCCCTTGGGTCCTGTCACTCACCACTAGAAAAGAGCTGTGAGTCTGTCCACTTTCTGTATGTTGGTTAGCAGAGATTTAAAGAAGAATTCTGGAATGAGGGTAAAAGTGCCAAACATCTACAATGTAAATGTAAGTTAGTGAATATTTCAAATGGTGGTTGTAACTCCCAAGCCTTTTTTACTAACTCTATTTTCTCTTCTCCTATTGAGGGTTTCTCAAAATAATTTCTGTACTTAATCTTCCCATAGATGCTCTTGGTTATATTTGGGGACTAAGAGTGGTTAGGTGACAGCTGTGAGACTTTTGTTGTTTGGAGGGGTGTTTTTTATTCTTCCTTAAATTCACAGAGAAAGTAGTAAGGAATAACTGAGGAAGTACTTACAGCATAATTTGGGAAGGTATTTTGGCAGATACATTCTTTGTTTCTTGAGCTGAAACTCCTTTTTGGGATGTGAAAGAAGGCTTATCAGTGAAATGGAAAATTTCTGGATCTTGGCATGTGGTGACTCTGACCTTTATGATGACATTGATTGATGTTCTGGATGACACTCTCCAGAACACTCTGCCAAGCAACCTTGGCCATTGTTCCCCAGAAGAAAAAGCCAGAAAAAACGTGGGGGTTGGGTTGGAGCAGTGAGCTTGGTTAGCCAAGAGACAGCCCTGAAGCTGCTGCTCACCTCTGTACTGGGGGCTCAAAGCTTTGGGCCCTCAGTGATGTCTATACTACAGTAATTATTTGTTTTAAGCTCTTTTGCTGGGAGATTCACAAAATAATTATCTGTTTATCCAGACAGATCAATTGAGAATCTGGAGGGGGGATGAGGCCTTCAAGTGAGCTGCTGTTCAGCATCTGTTTCCATCTTATTCCTTCCACATTCACTTGTTAACTTGTTTAAATTCTATCCCACCAGTGCTGTTGACCATTCAGATGTGCTGCCACCTGGACTTTACATTCTTAATAGAATAATTGGTTTACCCATGGGGAATAAAGTCTGGGTTAGTGCAACTTGTCTTAAGAATGTAGGAATGGCCTGAGCTACTGTGCTGCCATCAAAGCACACTTGTGGGCTACCCCTGGCTATTATTTCCCCAGAGTCTCCTGCAAACCTGGTGCACAGCTGCATGGCCAGAAGTTTGATGCCTTAAAAAGAGCAAAGTTATCTTTGTGGTGTGGAAAAGACATAGACAAAGCTAAGGCAATTTGCCTGGCTGATGTGATATCAGATGTTAGCAGGTTGTTCTTGAGGAGAAATTAAGAGTTAATGACTGTGTTACACACAGGTTTTTGGTATCTAGGTTTAAAGAACTCTAGAACTCTTTGTTATGAAGACATTTTCTTGGGAAGATGATTATTTATTAAAAGTAGCAGAGATTCTGGTGTTTTGTTTTCAGTTTCTTCTGGGTTTCTCTGTAGTGCTTGAAGCAGAGACGCTGCATTGCTTGAGTGCTCTACTGTGGAGACAGTTTAATGATTCAGTTTTGTTTTGTTCCTGTGAAAATGTGGAAATCTGGGAAAAGAAATCACTTAGTCCTGTTAAAAGTGTTTTTGATAAATACTTACTGTCTTGTAAAAAAGCTGGCCTCATCTAGGACTTTTCTCTACCATTACTTCCAATAAAGGAAGGGGAATGTTGAGGCAGACTTCATAAATAAAAATGGATTTTGGTTACACTAGAAGCAGCTCCTTTCAAGCATCCTTTGTTCAGCAGCTTCATATAATATGGAGCTACAGTTTCTAGTTCTAGCTTGGTGTTTTTTTAATAGAAAATCTATTATTATATTGTTTAATATAGTTAAATCAGAGTCCACAAATTGGCAGGTTTTGGAATGAACATTATATGTGGAAAACACAAACTGGCTATATACCCTTAAAACCACAACAAGCTGGTGTCAAATAATCTCTACTCCTCCCCTTTGGCTTGCTCATTTTGTAGGAAGAATCTGATTTACAAGCTGTGCTTATAATCAGCTGATTTCTAAAGGTCTTGTAGTGTAATATTTTTTGCTTGTGACTGTTTGCAAGACTTAACAGTGAATGAGATAATCTTTACAGGTTGTTAAAAGTATATAATGGATTTTGTGTTTTATATTTTAGAAGGAATTTTCCCAATATAGCATGTGAAACTAACAGCTTGGTAGTTAAATAATCTGCAAGGAGTTTAGTGTGTGTTGGGTGGTGGTTTGTGGGCTGGGTTTTTTTGTAGCTGTAGTAAACAGAAGATCTGAAACAGACTGAAATAGGGAGGAGCATGCAGATGATAATAGATCAAAGCTGTTTAATTTTCCAAATGTATTCTCTGAACACATTGTCCCAGCAGAAAAGGGAAAACCACATTGTACAGCAGGAAAAAGTGAACAAAAGTGTAGGTAATTAAAAGTGTAGTCAGATTATTTGATAACAAGTTAGGTAGCATAAAGGAAAAACAGAGAAGAATCTTGCACCAAAAGATGAGTGATGGATCCAGGGGTTAATAAAACAATCCAATGTCTGAGAAGTAGGAAAGCTGGTAGGAATGATGCAGCTGGTTCAGTCAAAACCAAGACTTTGAGCATGTCCTGTGCAGTGTGCTGAGCCAGGTGATGATATGGACTTACCCTGGAAGAAAGCATTTTAGTGAGGTTTGGCTGTTTCTGGATCTCGAGAGCTGTTGTTGTTCTGTGTCAATTCATTTTCCTCAATCCTGGCAGGCTGGGTTCTCTGTGCACGAGGAATTTGCTGTGAAGGGTTGAACTCTGTGTCCCTTCAGTGCCCAGAGGTGGGGATTTTGTTGGGCAACCTGTTAAGTAAATATTTCTTAATCTTCCCAGTATACACCATCAGGAAAGAGATATTTTCACAAACAAAAGCCAGCCACAGCTCTCCAAGCCAGCCTGTAGCACAGATGGGCACTTGGCATGGAGGCAGTGATGTTTAACGGGCAAATTTGTATCCTGGAGACTTGAATGCCCTTTCCCAAAAGGTTCATCTGGTATAATTTTTTTTTTATTTTTAATTTTTTTTTCCATGCTGGGAGGGGGGGGATGGTTAGGGAACAGGCTGTGGTGCCTCCCTGAGGGCCTGTGAGCTACTGTTCTTTTGATGCCTTGCTGGATCTACTGTGCTGTAGGATGGGTGCTGGCTGGAACATGGGTGTGCACAGCACTCTTCCTGCTTTTAACAGGATTTTCCTACATTGCACAGCATTTCCTTTTTCTATTTCACTCCCAGAATAGGTGTGAAAACATCTACAAAGCATGCATTCTCTTTCTGAGTCTTTGGTACCAAAAGTTTGAAATAAATCACAGGTAATGTGAGGAAAGAATAACTTAATCTTTCTAGGCAAGTCCTGGGGGACTGTACTAATATCACAATAATTACAGAGCAAGTATAATATGGCACAGAATAAAATATGAAATCCATGAAAAAGAATCAAATAGCTCTTTTTAGTTTGCTGCCTTGCTTGGATTTTGCCATGTAATGGCAAGTTTTCCAGCAGTAAAGATCTTTTCAATTAGTGGCTTCAAAGCCTTGCAAGTTTTAAATAATATTTCCTTTTTATTGATATGTGAACTCCTGCTTACACAATAAAATGTTTATCCTAAGTAGCTGTGTATTGATCTGGCACTTCTGGTTCACATATTTAACATGAACTGAGAGGTTATTCTATATCTTTTATAGTCTCATTCTAGAATAATTCCATTCTGAAGGGACTCAGCTGTTGAAACTGGAAAGTACAGCATATTTCTGACTAGGAAGTAATAGGCTTTCCTTGATTTGAAGGTTTACCAGCCTGCTTCCTTAGAGACTGACACGTTTGATTTGTCTCCTGTGGGCATGTAACTCTTACTAGTACTGCTATTTGCCACTTTACAATTTAATTAACTCATAGTTGCCAAGTTTTTTTTTTTAAGTAGCCTAAGGCTTTAGCTAAGAAACATGTAAAATACGCTCTGCTAATGCCACCTGCTGATGCTGAGGGTACATATCTGCCTGCAGTTTCATTTTATGCAAAGTTTTTATGTCCCATCCTGTATACATGCAATGAATAACTTCTCATATGCTTTGTCAGAGTGTTATTTTAGATCCATAATAATGAATTAGTTCTGGCTCTTACTCCTGTGTACAGTATTTTCACTTTAGCTCTAGTCCAACTCATAAAGTGCAATTCTTGTTGCTAAAAACAAACAAAAGAACCCAACTTAGTCCTTGTTCTTACTGTTGTGTACTAGTTCCATGCACAATTAAACTGCAAATTGAAAATAAGTAATTCTTTACATTTTAATAAAATTTGTCTTACTGTCTCAAAAATTTCATGTGTCTGTGGAGGTATAAACTCTTGGGCTTGTGTGTCACACAGTGCAGTTGAACTTCATTTTTCTGCCCCAACTTCTTGCTGCCTTTCTCTGTTGCAGAGGACACGTGTACACAGTGACCCTGGTGATGAGGATCAAAGGGGAGGTAAATAAACCTCTTTTGCTGGAAGAAGTCTTCACTTTTCTCACTGATGGCAGGCAGGCTTGCCAACAGCACTGACAGGGTGCATGTATGCTCCCCACTTTTTGGATGGGTTTAGCAGTGGATCATTTTTGTTTCAAGCCTTGCATTTGGTTTTCCCTCCTTGTTCAGTGGGATGCAAACAGCTGAAATAATCAGTGCTGGAATTACTTTGTGCCAACCTGTACATAAACAGTAATTGAGTGATTTTGAACAGGGCAGTGCAAAAGCAAGGGAACATTGAAAGTTTAAGTTACTGAAAACTTGTTTTTCCCATTCCCCTCCACTAAGGGCATGGTTTGGGAGCTGGGGAGGGAGAATTGCAATAGACTAGAGAGTGCCAGGCATGAACTTAAACTGCTGAAACAGAACTCCAAAACAGAACTAATACCACTTTAGGGAAGAAAAAACAAAACAAAAAACTGAGCTATTAGCACCAGTATTTTCTTTCTGCAGTAGCATCTCCTCCTTTGACAGACAGCTCTGTATGTTTTGCATCAGCTTGTTTCAGCCCCAATGATATCCTCACCTTTGTAATTATGGACATAGCACCTGGAACAAGGTCTGCTTCTTGGGTTTAGAGGGATTTTAAAAATATTTAATTACTGTTTATGATTACTTTTTCTCTGGTCAGTCTTAATTGTGTGCTCTGTTCCTCTCATAGGACCCATTTTTTAGCTCAACTGATTCAAATAGTTGTCATCAAAATAATTGTGGATTTAATGTTTATATAAATTTTCACTGTGTGTTTTTACTCAGAGTTGCAAACATCCCAAATTTCTCCTTATCCATAAGAAGAGAATGGATCTCTCTCTCCTTCCTGTGTTCTCTTGTGGGTATCAGGGCAGGTATCTTTGCCTCCCCTCAGGCACTGTGCTCCAATCCTGTGGGACAGTCCATTTGTTGTTTTGGGATCCTGGCTCTTATCTCCCATGGCTGTGACAAAATTCTGTTCCTGTAGAATATAATTCCTTTTGATTGTTCTTCATTGTTCTTGCTCTGTGTTAGTTTTTTCTCTAAATTACGGTAAGAAAAATGTTCGGACTCCTGACTTTTCTTATGTGTTATTTCAGAAATACTTGTTTTGTGGTTTAAAGTAAAAAACTGAGTCAGGACCTCTGACTGGCATTGTACAAACCCCTTCAGCAAATGCAATTGCTCTTACATAGATGGGCCTTCCTATGCAGAAAGGTGGGTTTATTTAGCAGAGATGATGAAGTTGCTTATATTATTTATGTACTTATGAAAGTGAAAAATGTCACTGACAAAAAAATGCATCATTCATTTAATTGTTCTTATGCAAATTGTAATTTACTTTGTATTTTTTGAGAAAAGTGAATTTTTTTTTTAACCGAAGGTATTGAGAACAAAAATTCACTTTTATTTTGGTAGACAAGTGCTTATCTGTAAGTTAAATTTTAAAGTCATCTTTTAATCCCTGAAAAAGAAGCAGCTAAGGAAAGGAAGACTGATGAGTTGAGGCTGTTTATCTTGTGTGTGCAGGGGATTTGAGAATGTGATTCTGATGCATTTTAATTTTTGAAATTGTTGCTGCAGTAATGCTCTTCTATTTTTAATTTTGGATGATGCATGTGTACATAGAACCAACAGAGTTTCTGAATTTAAAAGTCCCTGGTTGCAGCTTCTTGAAGTCCACTTTGCTTTGGACTAAAACAGGTGCTTAACTTGTCTGTCTGCCTCTTATCCTGTCCTCCACCCCACATGGCTCTGAAGTGGACTGTGAAATGCTGTAGCAGCAGTTGAATATAGTTGTTAAAGGAAATGTAAGGAGAGAGACTCTTGCTTTAGCACAGCAGGAATCTTTATATGTTGTGGAGACCTGCTGTACTCACACAGCTACCATGCAAAGATCACGTATTTTAAAATACCATCATAAAGGAAAATAGTCCTAAATGATGGACTTTGCTAATATTGAGGAGTAGAATTAAGAAAGTTACAAAAGGCCTAAACATACCATTCAGTCTAACAGGAGCTGATTATTGTTGTTTTGGAGCACTTAAGAACAGTCCCATTCTGACAAGTCAAATGAAGGGGTTATGTAGTTTCCCAATATTTCATTTTGAGGAGAAAGGCTCAGAAGTGTGGTACAGGTCTGACATGTAAGTACTCCTCCTGACTGATACTTCATGTATGAATGTACTATTAGAAGTCTAAGGTGTAGCAAAAATGTGCAAACCTGAAACTGACAATGTTCAGATGTGTGCAAAAATCGATCAAATTCCTTCTAATCCAGAAATCGGGGTCCAGTTTGCTGGCTGCTCGTGTAGGCATTTTTGAATGTTGCATGCTCACCAACAGAAGGCTCAGCCAGCCTTACTTAGCCTGTGAACTCTGAACTCAGTAAGTAGAGCAGACTTTTCATCTGTCAAGTTTTCATTAAATTTTAAAATACATATGCAGGTTTGTGCTGTCAGCAAAGAAGAGAATTTCTTCTGGCAGGATTCAGCTCCAGGATTTTGTGCTCTAGGATAACCCTTGAGCAGGGAGCTTGAGCCACTGCGGTCCCTTCTAGCCTGACCCATTCTGTGACTCCAGAACCACAACTTTCTGTGGTGTTATTTCTATAACATGGAACCTGTTAGCCAGGAGCTGAGGGCCCAGCTGCAGTGAAGGCAGATTTAGTGTGTGCATATGCTGTAAACCTTGTGACGATCATTGTCACAGCACTTTCAACACAAAGGGTTTCCCTGCCCGCAACAAACAACTCTAGCTCTGTGCACATCTCTTCCTAACCTCTTGCTGAGCCTTGACAGTCTGGCACAATGGCAGATTCTGCAGCTGGTTTCCTTTAATGAACTGGAAATGGCATTACAGGGGTGCAGGCTTGGTGTTAACCTGTGATTGATGTGTTATTTCACCAGGTAACTTCCTCTGTGCGTGTATTAGTGCAGAGCAGACACGTTCCACTGCACACAATGGGTTCATTCTTCACCAGATAAATATAATGTGAGTAATTGCAGTTCATTATGCAAATACCTCTGTATGAGACTTTTATGGGGTAGTAATGGATTTTGCAGAATCTTTTTCTCCTACATAGAATGCTGTTTTTAAAAACAATGTAACAGTGTCCATCAGGAAGGAGGCTTCTAAACCTGCAATTTAGAACATTTTGTTATAACTTAGTCTGACTTGACTTGGAGAGAACAGTCCTGACTACACAAATGTCTTACTACCTACTACTGAAAGGTGAAAGGCTGTTTGGTAACTCTATTGTTATTTTGCTGTTTATTAAGCATCTACATCATAAAAAGGGAACATGTATGGAATTTAAAAAGAAAGAAG